ATAATAGAGTATACTGTTTCACCCATGATACCCCCCATGCGTTGCCACTCCTGAGGACTCAGGTGTTATTCCTTTGTACCCAGTAAATTCACGCCATATCCCACCCTTCAAACAGAAACACAGCCATGCAAACACAACTGCTTCACGGTTAAAACACGAATGGGACAGAGGTACCGAAAACAATCGATTTTGATTTTGTTCATACTAGTCGGATATTTATATTAATTTCGATCAGATTCCTTATTCGATATTACGTATTAAGTTGCTGACATTTAATACATCCGCTTATAGAGTAATATATGGATATGGTAACTGCAATATACAGATATTGGCATATATTTCCCACCTCTACTATTAACATAATAAAATCTACTAGTTATCTACTACTAGGTCTATAAAGTTAAAACCATAAACTTGTATTTCACATATTATTTAAATATTTACCTACACAGAATTATCTTATTTTTTTTTTTATTTTTCTTCTTTTGGCCATTTGGAGAGGATGGTTGAAAGAAGAATTACGAAAGAGATTTATCGAGCAAAAATGAATGGAGATGTCGGTAGGGACCGCCCTAGACGGACGTATGTCGACCAAATAGACGACGTGCTGAAGAAGGGCCAAATTAAAAGTACTCATAACCGGCGAGCGTGTATGAAAAGATTGATGAATGTGGAAGAAGCGAAAGAGGTTTGTTTGAATTGAAGCATTTGGCGTTTCATTGTTTCTGCCTACCTTAATGGGAGACAGGCGTGACAGATATGTATGTATATATGTATTTAATTTTGTTAAAATACAAATAAGACATATATAAGCTTCTAGAAGGACATCAGATGGAGATAACATTCTTAGAAGAATTTCTAGAGAAAAAGAGAGACGGGAAGAGAGAGAGAGACTTACTTATGATACCCTGTATTAGGGAGAACCAGACAACCCGGGGTCACAAATTAGAAATCCCAAACCCGAAGAAATCGAACTCTGGACCAATTCCATTTCATTTACCATAGAGATCGCAAAATTTAATGAAATACCTTCGGGCATTGCATTTTCATACCAAATTAGCGAAGACAAATGTTTGACGGTACTTTTTTTATATATAATACATCAACTCTGTGCCGATTTTGATGATTCTTTTGCAATCAAAAAAGATTACTGCCATATTGGTCCCAAACTAATTATTGCACAATGATCTTCTTTGCGGAACGATTTTTTTTTATAATTATTACATTTGTAAGTAGCTTAATTGATAAGAGCATTAACTTAAGTATCATTGAGCACGACGTGGAGGGTGCGGGTTCGAACCTAGTCCGGTTTAATTTTTTTTCTATTACACAAAAAAAATATTGCGTACCTTAAAAATGATTATATTTATTTTTAAATGCAGTTAAAAATGAATGTATTTTAACCGCATAAATATGGTTGTATATTTATAAAACATATTGAATGAATGCAATGCATTTTGGATATTTCGAATACTCTTCAATTCCTCTATTAATTTTACAAATATAGATATTTTCGTGTTGCAGACATAAATTTTACAATTGACTTTCTGAGAAATAATTTTATTCACTCGAAGACTTTTTTAATATATTTTTTAGTGATTTGCACTTTTTTTTTTAATTTTAAGGGCTTTCACCTTCTTAAGGTATAATAACTCTACCGTACGCTCAACTGTTTTTTTACATAAAGCTTTATCTACTTTTCCTACTATAGTAATGTATTTCAAATGTCTACTTGAACGCCATAAAGGAGAATAAAAAATATATAGAAATATACATATGTATATAAAAATCAATTGCTTAATGTATGTAAGCGCCTAACTTCAAAATGGTTGATTTATTATTTTTATTATTATTTGAATTATTATTTTTTTTCTTTTTTCTTTTTTAATTGTCAAAACAAGGTTAGTATAAATAAAAATGTTTAAAATATTGTACGGAAAAATACCCGTGCGAATCCGGGGTAGTAAGCTAGTAAATAATATTATCGTTAACATATTTTTTTTATTATTTAATCTTTAATACATAGTGTATTTACATTAGTACACTTTACAAATACTTTATATCTGTATTCAAGAAAATCATTGTCATCATGTCAGTCGTCAATTATCCACTACTTAACATAAACCTCCCCCTATTGGGGGTGTATTACCAGTAGTTGCCACGCTTAGCAAGTGAATTGATAACAGCAGTTAGAAGACAGCTTTTGGTGATGTTCTAAGAGGGACGTTGCTGCCCATTCCTCGACCGTTAAGTTTTATTAATTTAAAAAAATACTGACCATTCAAGAAAATTCAGATATATTTATTTATTAATTCTTCATTACACAATAAAACTTTGTACAAGTGGCGAGCTTAATGCCATATGGCATTCTCTACCAGCTGATCATTAGGTAAAAACAGAAAGCGTATGAAGAGCAAATATTGTGAACAATATGTGACAATTATAGTAACATACTGAAATAATTATACATAATATATAAGAAATACACATATAGTACACACACATTGATTTTAATATATGTATATGGACATACTAATATGTACATATTATATATATTAAAACAATGACAATATACTATAACTATTGAATAATTTATAGCTAGAACTAGTCTTGTTGACTCAACCAATAATTAAATAGTTTTAAATATATATATATATATATATATATATATATATATATATATATATATATATATATATATATATATATATATAAAATATATATCTTTTTTTTATTCATAATAGATCTAATAACAGATATATTACAGTCATACAATATAAATATAAGATATATTTTCAAGAGTTGTAGCAATAGTGTATATGTAGAAGCAAAGCAACAGGTGTGAGTCGATCGCTCTCTAAGGCTGTAGGTAAACATTGCCGTATGGCCTTTGTAAACTAGTAAAATACCACGGCTATGCCAATATGAATCAGGATAAATAATAATCCTGTGTGTTAACCTAAGGTATGATCTATCAATGTATATAATTTCAATCAAATCCGTTCAGTCGTAGCGTGAATGAAAAAAAAAACATTGGTCAGACACTGTTGTTACCTTCTCGATGTTTTATATATTTATATTGTTCTGCATATGATTTATATTGCCGTTTATATTCAGTTAAAATTTTGTATACATTTGCTGGTTTTTTGACCTCCAATATTACAGTTCCTTATAACTCTTTTGTAATATTTACAAACGCATTATTTTAGTATTCGTCGATTTGTTGCTAAAAAATCATCGCTGTCACAATTATTTTGTATAAATTATAAATATAATTTGTAAAGTTCATACACGACGTAACATATAAAGATTTTGTCCAAACAAAACCGATTTTATTTAAAAACCAGTTATTTTGATTTAAAAACTAAACTACTGGACCAATTTTGATAAAATTTCTATAAGAATTACAGATTATTAGGATTCTCTTTAAATAAAAAAAAGATCTTTTTAAATAAAAAAATATTTTTTCCAAATCCCTTTCTAACTAACAGAGTTATGAATGTAATAAACAAAACTTCTTTTTTTTTTAAGTCGTTTAAAAATACATCACAATCCGAAATCTATTCTGGCGTACAAAAAAAAATTATACCTATCAATAAATAGAATATTTAAAAAATATAGAAATACCATATTATATTAGATGCTTTGAGTTGACACCACAGAATGTTGTTCTAATATTACCTTAGTTAGTTTTAAACATTTAATTAAAACTGTTGATCCGAGATATCACCATAAACACCGTTTACCGCCGGTATTTCTATGAAATTCCATGGATAACAACAAATTACTGTACATGCCAACGTATCAAGTTATAATGAATACTATATTTATACTAATATTGTAAATAGGAAATATTTGTATATGTTTATATAACGAATAAACTCAAAAACTACTAATCCGACATTAAAAATTCATTCACCATTAGAATGCTACATTATTTTCGAGTAAAATATGCTACAGAATATTTTCGAAAAAAATATCTATCAGCGTGAAATCGTGCCAGGTCGCTAGTGTAAGAAATTTTAAATGATAAATTTCGTGAACGCATTTTCTTTTACATAATATTTTAGATAACGTAAATTAAAACGAACGTGTTTGTGTGTTATCAAATAAATAAAAAACATTAAAAAAATATCTGTATAGAAAATTTAATTTAAATAAGTCTTAACATTTATATTATTAGTAATATTAAATACATATACGTAGTGAATGTATTTTATTTATCTGTACTAATATAAAGAGAATTGATTTAACTGTTTGTTTGTAATGGATAAATTCAAAAACTACTTGACCGATTTAAAAAAAATTCACTTATAGAAAATTACATTGTCAGCGAGTAACATAAGTGTATATCATTGACGAAAATTCTATCTTATCGTACAAATCTGGGCCATATCACTAGTAATATATTAAAGCATATTTATATAATTATTTATTTTTTAAGTTTTTGTAACTTCCATATGATTCCATATGACTTTCACAATACATATTCACTAATAAATAGCTTTATTTACAAGTAATAAAAATGTTAAACGTGATGCTTAATATATAATTTAAAAAATAAATGTAAAAAATTATATGTGTTAGTCAATATAATGTATATAAGTTACTCCAATATAAAGAAAAGCTTTTACACACTTTTACAAATTTTGTAAAAAATAAATGGGAATAATTTAAATTATTTAAAAAACAAAATTAGCAGTTTAAAGTATTTTTTACGATATGCAAAGTCAACGTATAGACACTTTATTTAATAAGAATCTGACTTAAAAAAATATTTATATTTTTACAATTATTACGTTAAAAACAGTATATTGTATATTATTAAATTAATTTACTTTTAATCAATTGAAATAAAAAGAAAAAAAAACTTTAACAGAAGTTATACAACTTTTTAAAATATTAAAACTCGACTTTCAAAGGCCTAATAAAAGCACTAAAATCATTAAATAAAAGTCGTGAAAAATCCCAAACATATAAATACAAAAATGTGGACTTACCCGAAAGCCATTGCTACGCTAGTGCTACGACGTGGATGGTGCTACGAGAGTGCCGCAAGGACTGCGTGCTACGCTCTCTTTATATGTATTCCGAATCGCCCACGCCCCGCCCTGCATGTACGTACGTACACTTCTGCAAATATTGCCTGATTGAAATTAATTGTAACGGTTGATACTCGATTACTACTAAACTTAGAGAGCAATGTTTGGTTTAGTAAGGAAACAGCACCTAACAGGTGGGTACTGTTAGGTTAATTTTAACCTGTTGCTATGGTAATACGATGGTATTCAGTATGTACGTATGTAATTGTAAGATATTAAAGAAAATAATACAGATTTTTTAACTAACTACGAAAAGAAAGAGGTTATAAATTCACTATTCATCCCTGAAAGTAGAGAATGCTGCTAGCATTAAGTACCACCACCTTCTGTACCATATTTTTTCCCATAAAGTATCTTAAATAAATAAATAAATTTGATTGCGCTTTTATGAATGTGACGCGATAATCTCTCCTGTTTGTGAACCGCTTTTAATTATATGTTTTTATTCAAAATTGTGTAAACAAAATATACGTGGAAGTAATACCATATTCGTTTTTATAAATTATAAAGTCGGTTTTTCTAATGGCAATATTAAAATTAGAGATTTTTTTTATTATTGGACCTGATTGATCACGATCGATGGAAAGTGTAGATGTGGTCTAATATGGGGCTCGCGGACCCATGAATAGTCTATTCACATTTGCTTTAAATAGGTGCAAATTATATTTGGATAGAAAAACATAAACAGGTAGAGAGGTTGAGAAATCCACTCCTTGGCCGTACGCATGATAAAGGAAGACATTTTAAATGTTATTACAATATAAAAATCAGTAATAAAAAAATTCGAAACAGGCTGAAAGTCTATTACTTAATAATTATTGCAACATGATTTCACATTTCTACATCAATTTTTTTTATTATTTTATCAATTGCCAAGTGTTTAATCATGAATATATATATATATATATATATATATATATATATATATATATATATATATATATATATATATATATATATATATTTTTTATTTAATTTAATGTTATTTAATTGTCCATTGCTGTACATAGATCTTCACCTTATAAAGAGAGGCGAGATGGTAACCGCGGTTAGGCTTTGGTGATGTTTTAAGAGGGACATTGCTGCCCATGCCTCGAGCATAAAGTTAGTCTCCACTTACAAAACTCACGGGGAAAGGAAGGAAGGGAATCCCTCTTCCTTTGTTTATGCAATTATTGCAATATGATTTCATATTTTAATAATATGAAATTATATTATAATTTATAAATATTTTTTGCAAATTCATTTGCAAAAAATATTTATAAAAATTCTATTATATATTTATTAATTATATTTATAAAAATTCTTTTATATAATATATATATATATAATAAAAAACGTCATCAAAATTGGAGAATATTAAAAATTTAACTCCATGCTTTTCTGTTGGAAAAATGTATTTATAAAATAAATGAATTTTAGAGATATATTAATTGTGAGTTATATGTAGTTAATTGTGCTTTTTTTTGACTGAAATTGTCATTATTATTAATTCGTTGCTTGTATCTGACATTGTTTATATGTAAAACTCCTATCATATTCGACACAATGTAATATTGTTATGAATAAATTGAATTGAATTGAATTGAATCAAACAATATGGTGGAATCGGGCTGATTCCAAAAATATTTGTAATATGTGTCTGAAGATTTAATTCTTTCTAAAAGATCAAACCATTCTCAATAGTACCTTTAAAAAACTAATACTATTTAAATTCAAACGAAGACAAACTGTTGTTTCTAACTTTCCAAGAGACTGTACGATCTCGTGATTCTATATTCATTTACAGCTTTAATATACCTAAAATAAATAACTTTATCTTTTAACCCGCCATCGAGTATTTCAACACATCCAAAAACTTTACTGCTAGAAAATACCTATAGCATTAAGTCCGTCTTTTGTACCACCTGTTATTGGTCAATACAGTTTAAATAAATAAATAAATTTTATTATTTATTAGCGCGATTTTTCATAAATTTTAAATAAATTATTCTTCTTCTTTTTAAATAATCAATGAGAAACGTTGAAATTGTTTAAAATGTATTAATATTAGGTATATATCTTTAAAATTCAATAATGCACCGTCTACTTATTTCTCTATTTGCCCAATAGTTGACTGGTAGAGAACACCGTCCGGTTGGGGGGAAAGGGATTGTTAGCAATGGAGTTTAACAGCCCCATTGCTAGCAATGTGCCCTATTAGGTCGACCTCCACGTGGTTCCTCCAGGAGACCATCGTGAACAATTCTTGTTGAATTCGTCACGATGGGCCAACTGACCTGCTTCATCATCACCTATCATCCCTCACTGGTGCCCCGCCGGTGTATACCGATAGCGCAGGCGGGGTTACCATTCCATTATCACCTATTAAAAAAAAAAAAACACCGTCCGGTTTTAAGTCCGCCAAATATACATAGAATTTCACTGTGCATTAAAGTTTAAATAAATAAATAATAGATAACTACGTCGATAAGGTCGCCCATTGTTTTTCCATTGTGATTATTTTTATAATTGTTTATATTTATAATAAGTTTACTATTGGAATCTTTTGGAGGAAACAATAAAGAGTATCTATCTGTCTATCTACGTATCTATCTGTCTATACTACTGTCGCACTTCGGCAAGCTAACTTATAAATGCTCTTAAAAGTACAGTTTATAAAATATAAGTACTACTTGTGATTTAAAAACAACCTCTTAATACATAATAGAAGTACTTAAACTATACAATTAATTTTAATTGTCGTTTAAGTTAAAGTGCGTCTGCGTGAATCATAACTTTTATTTTAAGCTAAAAATTTCGTTTCTTCTATTCTCAGATATCGACTTTTTATTATTATCTGTTCAGTTTATCTTATTAATATTATAAATATTTTTTTTTACAACACAGGGGGCAAACGAGCATGCGGCTCACCTGATGATAAGTGACTACCGCCGCCCATGATCACCCACAATACCAGCGGCATTGCAGGTGTGCTGCCGGCCTTTTAAAAAGGAATATACTCTTTTCTTGAAGGTTATGTTGTCGTATCGGTTCGGAAATACTGCTGCTGGAAGTTGATTCCAAAGAATGGTTGTGCGTGGAAGAAAGTGTCTTGAAAAACGCGTGGTGGAAGTGAGTTAGTGAAGTTATATTGTTATTTATAATCGCAAGTAACTTGTTATTTACTGTGTAATTAAATAAGTGCCACACAATCACACCGAAGGTCTGGTCTTCAAATTAAGATACTCAGCGTTATCAGGGCCTAGGTAAAAAACGTCTGGGGACACAGCCCAGAATACTCAGACCTGAGCTGATTAAAAACAATTATTTTCTAAATTGGTCCTACTAGTAAATCGAACCGAGGACCTCGTTTATGCACAGCAACGTGCTCTCAATGGTACAACGGAGTTTGTTAAAGTTTGTTTTTTTTAGTGGGTGAAAATGGCATGGTAACCTCGCCTGCGCTATTGGTATACACTGGCGGGATACCAGTGAGAGGTGATAGGTGAGGATGAAAAGGCAGGTCAGTTAGCCCATCGTGACAAATTCAGCGATAAATTAGTCACGATAGTTTCTAGGGGAAACTGCGTGGAGGTCGACCTGATAGGGTATATTGATAGCAATGGGGACTAACCTCCCTATTAGTAACAATCCCTTGCCTCCATGTTTGTTGTTTAAACAAGCTCAAAGCTGCGGTTTGCAACTAAATAGTATACTCTTGAATATAATTAGTTTACTTGTTTTAAACTCTAACAAATCGTTACAATATTTGACTTACACTTATTTATTATTTATTTACATATTAATTTTTTAAATCTATGTCAAATGTGTATCAATTTCTTAACAACGGCTGTATTTAAATAGGCTCGTTTACAAGCACTTTTAAATCGTTATCCCAGGTTGTCTGTCTGTTGTGCTTTTAGCGATAAGGCCGCCTCTTGTATATGCACATTCTGTATAAATACTCCTTGTATACATCTCTATTGTGCGTAATAAAGAGTTTATTATTATTATTATTTAAATCATCATCTTTTTAAAATATACTGCGGGGTTTGGAAAGTTGTTATCTGCTTAGTAGAGTCTGTAAGAAATTCAATAATATTTACCATAAAAGAGACTTCCGGATGAATTCAAAACAATTGTTAATAACAACAAATATAGTAAATTAAAAAATTCCGTTCCCTATACACACACATACACGCACGCACGCACGCACGCTCGCACGCATGCACGCACACACGCACGCACTCACGCACGCGCGAACGCACGTACGCACGCACGAATGTATGTGTGTGTGGGTGTGTGTGCTAACATTAGTACGTGTGCGACTGTCAACACTCGACAATTGACCACCATCATTATTATCATTATTGTTGACAGTCACACGCATACTAATCTTAGCGGGATTAAACAAATTAATTCTAACCAAATAACCAGTGACATGGACTTCCGCGAGATAACACCTATTTCAGTAGATTATTCGAAATTTTTTTTTATTGTTCATGTTACTTTGGTAAAAAGGTTCAGTTTCGCTGATTCAGAGCACTCTCTTCAAATGATGCTAACGATTTTTATTGCATCCTGTATAAAGTTAGGCGTCTGATTTCTCCTTTTATTAAATTTTGGTGTTCCCATTCGAGACTCTAATGTTCTTTCAAAGGAATTTTCAGCCAACACATTGTAGGAATAAAAGATTTGTATAATATATATCCCTTAGTCTCTTACCACATCCAGGAAGGGGTGGCCCATTTTATGCTGGAATCACGGCGATGTATGTATGTATATATATATATATATATATATATAGATTGGTACACATGTATGACTGTAACTACTAATGAACTGTCACTTTTCTCATATTGGGTTTGCTGGAAGAAATCTCTATTGGAGATAAGCTTGCCCTTGTGCACTATTATGTTTGGTTTTACATTTCAATAACCTTTTAATATATATATATATATATATATATATATATATATATATATATATATATATATATATATATATATATATATATATATATATATATATATATATATATATATATATATA